AATTACTTTAATTAATGAGGTATTGATCAAGTAATTAATTAATAATTAATTAACCTGCTAATACTTAAAATTAGACTCGAAGAAATCACAGGTGGGTGAAGTCTTTACTATTAACAGAACCAAAACAAAAGCAAGTGCTGAAATTATTATAACTTGACTTGGAAGAAATTAATTTAAGTATTACTCCGTATTAAAGCTAAAGGTATATCATCGAGATTGAATATATATAACACACCTTCTTCGCTCTTTATTTAATATAATTGTATAAATATTTGTGTTGCTTGAGAGGAACACAAGTTTAAATGATATTCTTTCTATTTAAATTTAGTAGTTTTAGTTTAAAATTTTGATTTTAAAATTTAAATTTTAGATAAAAATTTAATAATTTATATAAAAAATAATTATTTTTTTTCTATATATAGTTCATGTTAAGTATATCTATTTTTTTTTTTTTAGTTTCCCGCCCGGTATCGGGGCTTCGACCCGACTACTCCAAACTCGACCAGCTGCGACGCACCAGAATGGTGGGTGGGTCTCCCAACGAAAACTACTGCGTACACAAGGTTTCGAACTCGTTAAGTATATCTATTTAATTAAAAGATTTTCAATTATCATTTATATAATAATATATTAAATTTTTATTTAAATTTTTTATTTAACAGATTAAAAAATTAAATTAAGATTATTAAATTTAGACGGATAGAGTATACCAAAAAGATTGGAGCAATCATTGATCGTTAAAGTAAATGATACATTTCTGATTTTATCCTTTTGACATTTTGTATTTTGCATTTTGCAAGTCATTTTCGTCCGCTTTTCTTCTTTAAAAACTAATTTTCCTCTGTATTTTCTCCAACCCTTTTCATTTTTCATCATCTTCTAATAAACTCTAAACCAATAACCAAATATTATTATTTCTTTTACACCTTGTCCTTAGATGGACCTGCTCAACTCAACGGAGAAGTGGGTCGCAACCAATGCTGACAAAAGTATAATGTTATAAAAATAATTTTATTATATCATTTTTTGATATAATTTTTATGAGTTATTAAATAAATTAATGTATTTAATATTATGAATTTCATATGAATAAAAAAATTAATTATTTAAATGACACGTCATGTTATATAAAAAAGTGATATACAAAAATTATCTCAAAATCATTTTTTATTGGCAAAATTGTCAAATAAAAAAAGGATAAACAAAGTCATACAGAAATTAATTAATTAACCCTAAATTACAGAATCAACACAATCTTGCTATAATTAACTTGATATATACCGAAACCAATTGATCAGGGGTAGTATAACACTGAATTAATAATCATGTTAGAATCAAGTTCCTCCAATTTTAACATGTCTAAATGAAGCATCTGTCTGTTGCCTTTGCCTAGGATTGATGCGGAGCCAGTCTGTAACTCGAGTTTTAATTAATTGGATATACTGTGTTTGCATGTATATACAGGGTACAGCTAAAACTAAGCAATTAGATTTAATCAAAAACCTTCAATCAAATCAATTCAACTTGGCATTTTGTCCCTACTTTTTTCCTTTCCCTTTCTTGATTATGATCTGGAACAAACAGACAACCCCCTTTAATTTTCTTAAGTAGGGAATGGAAACAGAACTCACCCTTCTTCCTCATACCAAAATTAAAGACAAAACCTCATCAGCGTTATGACCCATTATTTTGGTTAACCAAAAATTTCTGGTTTCAAATTACGAAAGAAATGATTAACTCTCTCTGTGGTACCATCGGATCCATCAACTACAGCCACTGATTTGAAGAAAGCACCTCCATCCTATGATTTGGAGCACAGCAGCTTAACCCCACCCTGTCTTAACATCCCTGCTGCAGTAAAAGTTGAGCTGGATGGAGATGGGGAAGTCCAGTTACCGGACAATTCAATGTGGGACACCTTTTCTTCAGAACATTTTGATTCCCATTTCATGATTTCATCTCCGGTGGCGGTGAGGAATTTGCCATCACCGCAACCATCCAGTTGTCATCTAAATAATGCAATGCAGGGGCAGAGTACTTCGGGGTGTTCTCCTCCTCGGTTCTCATCGCAGCTTGGTAGGTTTTAGCATTAGCCATAATAAAGGGAAGGGACTGAGTCCTCCCTATAAAGTTTTTAATTCTCCAAATAATCAGTATATGCAGGTGGAGAACCTTTCCCTTCCCGCTATCGAGGAATTCTTGGAAAGTGGATATCAAGTTGAAGAATACCAAACAACAAAGATGGCGACATCACCCCTGTTTGGGATGCCTAGCATAACAGCAGGTTCGTCTATGTTAGACTATGTGGCAATGCCAAATTCGTCCAGGTTATCTGCAATAAGTGAGACATCTTCTCAACAGACCCAGGAGAGGGACTTTTATCAGGGTCCCTCTGTTTCATCAGCCTCATTATCACAACAGGAGAAGCAGCAGCAGCAGCAGCCACCTCAACAACACAACCTAATTAACCAGAGCCTCATGGTTCCTCTTCCTGTTGCTTCAGAACAGGTTAGCTAGGGTTAGACTCCATGGTTCCTCTTCCTAATTAACCAAGAATTTATTTATTTTTTTAAATTAAGATGTTCCATTGACTTATATAATTAATTTCCAGGAGCAAGACAGTGGACTTCAAATGTTGCACCTCCTCCTTGCTTGTGCGGAAGCAGTATCAAAAGAAGACAACATGTTAGCACGAAAATACCTGCATCACCTCAGCAGAGTTGTTTCTCCTCTTGGAAACCCCATGCAAAGAGTCGCCTCTTGCTTCACCGAAGCCCTAAGCACTCGCCTCGCCGCTACCCTAACCACCACATCATCCTCATCATCTCCAAAATTAGCTTTCAATCCTGTTTTCCCACCCAAACTCCTTAGAAATCCTCAAAATCTACCAGATCGTTTACCAAGCCTGTCCCTACATAAAGTTCGCTCATTTCACAGCCAATCAAGCCATCTTTGAAGCTTTTGAAGCTGAACAACGTGTCCATGTTGTTGACCTTGATATCCCCCAGGGCTACCCGTGGCCTGCTTTCGTGCAAGCCTTGGCAGCACGGCCCGGTGGAGCCCCGTTCTCCGTATAAACGGTGTCGGACCCTACATAGACGCCTTAAGAGAAACGGGCCTCTGTTTAACAGATCTCGCCCATTCTCTCAACATCCCTTTCGACTTTCATCCCATCGGTGAACAGCTTGAGGACATAAAACCCCACATGTTCAACCGCCGGATGGGTGAGGCTTTGGCCGTCAATGCCGTCAACCGCCTCCACCATGTTCCTGGAAATAGCCTCGTAAGCCTCTTGGCCAAGATCCGTGATCAAGCACCGAAACATTGTCACCCTAGTGGAAAGAGAAGCCAGCCACAACGGGCCATACTTCTTAGGTAGATTCCTCGAGGCACTACATTATTATTCTGCAATTTTTAATTCATTAGATGCAACGTTTCCTCCGGAATCTGCACAGAGGGCCAAGGTGGAGCAGTATATATTTGCGCCAGAGATGAAGAATATTCTGCCGTGTGAGGGAGCAGAGAGAGTGGAGAGGCATGAGAGATTGGACAAGTGGAGGAAGCTAATGGAAGCGAAAGGGTTCAAGGGGGTGCCCCTGCGTGCAAATGCTGTTAACCAATCCAAGATATTGCTGGGACTGTATTCGTGCGATGGGTACAGATTAACTGAAAATGGTTTCTTGCTGTTGGGGTGGCAAGATACATAGAGCCATTCTTGCTGCTTCTGCATGGCGATGCTGAAACTGTTTAATGGTTTTTACTGGCCTGTGTTAGCATTTATTTTCTTAACTAATTTCCCTTCTTTTTGGAATTATATATCTCATTCTTGTTAATTTGGTGTGCGTGATGCCATGCAAAAGAGGTCGAGAAAAATGCCAAAAAGGGTAGAGGAATTAAAAAAAAAAAAGGAAAAAAAGGGGAACTTGTAAAAAACGACCTCAGGATTAGTTAAGTCAATATAAATACATATTAACCAGTTTACAAATAAATTATATACTAAAGCGTTATCTTATAATGTCTCTTGGAGACTGTGAGTTGAGTACCTCTTGTACTCCTCACCATAATAAAATTTTTTGATTCATCAAAAAAAAATAATTATATACTAAAGCTTTTTTTTGAATAATGGGGAAAGGGTATATATTGTTTGATGCGTTGATGATGAAGAACAAGACATCACCACGATTCCTGCAATATCTGTCATAATCGCTAGATATATTAATTCTAGCAAGACAAGGAAGAAATTACATTAATCTAAGCTTAATCTTCGGATTATATAATTACAAATCTTGGTCTTTATATCAGATTTTTAGTAATTATAAGAAACCAAATCCTTTTCCCCTTGACAAAATACAAACGTAATATATATATATA